TTTTGCGGTACTGGGGATTGAACTCAGGACCTTGTGCTTGCCAGGCAAGTGCTTATTCTACTGAGCTATCTCCCTGGCCCTGAATCTTTCGAGAGCTTGTAAAATGTTGAGCAGAGGCCTGAGCTGCCCACTGAGCTGAGTGGTCGCCCAGCATGCTCAGATGCATCAAGGGCAGGATGTTTGCATGGAAGGCAAGAGTGTCCTCCCAGCTGTGATTCAGCTCACGTTACCTATGCTGCCCACTACGATGCAGCTGGGGGCTATGGAAAGCGGGGGGGCAAGGTGGGGGACAGGAGTGGAGGCCTGTGCCAACCTACTCCAGGTGTGGCTCCACCGTGCCTGCGATGGTTGTGGCTGTGTGTCCCACCTGAGTGCCGAGACCATGGGTGGGATCAGTTCCTGGTCCTGGAACGATGACCTCCACACTGTAGGCCCCTGGGGTATGCCCTACCTTAGCGTAGAGAGGGAGCCTCCAGGAAGCCAGAGAGCCACTGGGGGTTTGCAGAAGTCTTAGCGCAGTGTATAATAAGGAGAAAGGAAGCCTGCAGGTTTCCATATGTGCCAGACAACCAGCTGGCTTCTCACCATAAAGTGCCTGCGTTGCCTCCTGCGTAAAGTCAAAAAAGGGGTGTGTGCCCACAGGGCTACAGACCAGGAATGCGGACAGATTTGTTTCCACAGTACAGAGGCTGAAGGCTTGTGCAGCAAGGTCAGCCAGCCTGGCACTTCCTTCTTAAATTTCACTTTTATGTACTTTGTCATGTAGGGGATTGAACTCAAGGCCTTCTCGTTGAGCTGTGCCCCCAGTGGAGATAGCACCCATCCTTTGGGCCCTTGATCTCACTTGGAATAGCACCTTGCATAGTTTCCCAGGCTGGGCTGGAACCTGCCACCCTCCTGCTTCCTTCTCACAGAGAGCTGGGGGCACCACCTGGCCTGCCTTGGCCATGGCTTGTCCTCACGTGCCCGTCTAGCTGTGTCGATGTGGGGCAGGATGCTGCATGAGGACCTAAGGACCGCATGTGGGAACACCTGCAAGGGCAGCCACACGCTGAGGCTCCTGGCTGGGCCGTGGGCGTGGCTGTGCGTGCACAGCAATGGCAGAGGGACACAGCGCTCACCCAAGTAGATGGTGTAGTGCAGCTGGGGTGTGCGGACACTGGGTCCCAGGGAGCAGACTGCAGGGACCCCTAGGCTAGGCCAGCGTCCAGCCTGTGTGAGCAGGGCACGTCCATGCCCGGCGCTGGCGGTTTGTGATGGGCAGAGCTGCCTGCCCGAGCTCTTGCCCCTGGAGATCACCTCGCAGCTGTAGCTGTGTCTTGACACGCCGACCCCAGTGGAAAGTCATTTGGGTTGGGTCACCAGGTTCCCCTAGGCAGGCCCAGTGCCTCCCGGGGCAGTGAGGAGCTCGGACCACAGGGAGCAAGCTGGGCATAGGCACGCCGCTGAGTGGCCCGAAGGCGGAAGCAGTGGCCGCTGGGGGATGAGCTGGCCTCAGCCACCTCAGCGCATGCTGTACCACTGTGTGCTGTGTGTGTATGTGTACATATATGTAGTTTTAGGGTGCTGAGGATTGAACTCGGGCCCTTGTGCTTGCTAGGTGGATGCTCTGTCATCAAGCCTGGCTCCCACGCCTACTTCCACTTTTTAGGGTGGCATGTTGAAAATGCGTGTACTTAAGATGTACAATGTAGCTTGATAACTTTGACGAGTAATTAAACAAGTCTAATTAATGTGCATTCATACATGCACTTGCTCTATTTTGTGACAAACACACTCTGCTCTCAGCAATTGCCAGTGAATAATGTGCTGTCAATTGCAGTCATTCCTCCTGTCTGACTGAAGCTGTCCCCTCCTTGGGCTCCAGCAGCTGTCCCCATCTTCTGGTCCTCAGTAGACTCCAGATCGCACTCAGGAGCAAGGTCCTGAAAGTGTGTCTCTCTGTGCCTTCACACAGTATCCTCCCAGATGACAGGACCCACCTTGTTGCAGGCTGTGTAATATTCCACCCTGCGTGCATACCACATTCACTTTGTTCAGTGGGTTGGTTGGTGGCTGGTTATTGGGAACAGTGCTGGAGTCGGCATGAGCGTGGCTCTCAGTCGTGAGTGTCTAAGACTGAGAGGCCTCAGCAGCTCTTGAAGTCACGTGTGCAGGAACCTCTTGCTGCATTCCTGTGGTACAGAGCAGCTTCTGTCCCTGGGCAGTGGGCAGCTCCCCTTCTGCCCTCACCCACCTAGGGAGAGGCCTCATCTTGGAACTTTGCACATCCAGACTGCCACATGAGTTTATATTTGAAAGTAACCCTGTGTGGCACCAACCCCGGGGTAATTCCCATCACCAGCAGCCTTGCTTTCCTACTTTTTTTTTTTTTTTTTTTTTTTGTGGCCGGCTCAGCCCGCCCTGGAGGTGGGGCTGGTGCGGCATGTGATGCTGGGGATTGAACAGTGGTGTCCCCCCCCCCGCTTTTTTTTCCTTTTTTTGTTTGCTCTTGTTCTTTGAGATAGGGTATCATTTTGTAGTACAGGCTAGCCTTGAACTCATAGCGATCCTCTTGCCTCAGCCTGCAGAGTGCGGGGCTCCACAAGCATGCAGTGCCCGGCCTGTTTCCCTGTGGGCGGCATCTGGCTGTGTCACGGGCTGCGCTCAAATCCTGGCCCTGGCCAAGGAGCGCGCCTGCCGCGCTTGGTGGAGTGTGCGCATGCGCGTGCCGAGGGCTGCGATCCCAGCTGTCTCAGCACTGTCTTGACGTTCCAGTGGAGGTGGGTGTCGTCGGCCATCGGGGACCTCAGGCCCAAACGCCTTTCTCTTGCAGCTCTGGAGGATGCGTGCCTTCTGCAAGAGGACAATTTGGGGGACGCGCAGCAGGTGGTCACCTTCCCACTGCCCTTGGTGAGTGTTGTGGACACGCAGGGAGTGGACCCTGGGCGCCCTCCTGAAAGCTGGGCGCGCCCTGGCTCTGGCTTCACAGCTAGGTGTTCCTAGTGCGGTAACAGCGTAGGTGACTGTCGCGCAGGGGTATGGTGGTCCCAGACTCTCTGGATTCCCGTGACTGTGTGTGGCCCATCGGCCACTGTCCAGTCGGGATCCTTGAACTCCCACAGGCAGAGGGACAGTTTCCACAGGATCGAGGTGGACACCCAGCCAGGCCTCTGGCTCCCAGCTGGCGCCAGCAGCACAGGAAGCATGGAGTCCCCTCACTCCGGCAGCCACACAAGGTGACCAGGATGGTCGCGCCTTGGGTTTCTCGGAGGTTGAGTTCTTTGCGTAATGAGATGCCCCACAAAGTCCACCAGCCCGCTCACATCCCTCAGGCTCTGAGCACGCTGCTGGCTAAGCCTTCTTACTCTAAGAAAACTGTAGCTAAACATTCAGTTGTAAGAAATAATGCAAGTGTCCCTTGGGGTTTTTGTTTGTTTTACTCAGTAGTAAATTGTGTGGTTAAAAAAAATCTCTCTTGTGCTGGCGTGGTGGCACACATCTAATCTCAACGCTCTGAGAGCCTGAGGCAGGAGGGTCACAGCTTGGGACCCAGCACAGGCAATTTGGTAACTTGGTGAAATTCTGTCTAAAAACTTTTTAAAGGCTAAGGATGTAGTCAGTGACAAAAAAGAAAAGAAAGTCGATTAAGCAGACCAGTTCCTACCATTTATTTTTCTTCAAAATTACTTCAACTTGCTTTATTTACTTCTGTGGGGATTCTAGGAGTTAGACCTGGGCCTTGCTCCTGTTGGGCTAGTAGCTTTACAGCTCCAGCCTTATTGTTAAATTTGATGTCAACATACTTGTTTCTAATGTGCAGAAATACAATTGGGTTTTTGAGACAGGGACTCACTATGCAGTATCAGCTGGTGACCTTGAATTCACTATGGAACCATACTGGAGGGGTACCTCCTGCCTCAGCCTCCCAAGTGCTGGGATTACAGGCATGTGCCCCCGTGCTTGGCTGGTTTTGGGTTTTTTTCCTTTTCTTTTTGAATTTACTTGTAAATTCAAAGGAGACTTAGAAAACAGGGTCCTCTGAGTTTTTCTGCTTTTTTTTGTTTTAGGATGCAGTCCTGTCCTCTGTACAAGACAGGGCTGTTTGTTTCCCACCATGTGTCTGCCTTCTCTTTTCTCTCATTTTTTGGCTAAAACACCCCCCACCCCCATAACAGGGTGAAAATGGGCATCTTTAGTGGAGTGGGACAGGACATTGAACTCAGGACCTCACGCTTGCCAGGGGCCCTGTGCCACTGAGCTAGGTCCCTAGTCCCACAGTGGGGATCGCTGCCTGGCCCCATCTTGGAGGAAAAGCGTTTGAGTTTCTCTGCTGAGTACTGTTGTGTTTTTTCAGTTCTCTTCATGGGATTGGAGAAGGACCCATTCCTGTGTTTCTTTGAGGTCGTATGTGTGAGCGCTGGGCTCTACGAAAGCCTCTCTGCCACTGTCGGTAGGGTGTCGGGAGTCCCCTTCCGCTGCCTGCTGTGGAGTCGCACCAGTCTGAGCCCTTTCCTGATGCCCAGCTTGAAGTCTTACTCGCACACTGCTGGGCTGTTTGCTGACACACGTCTGTATCCCCAGGTTCCTCTTCTGTGGTTCTCTTGTCTTCACTGTCTGCTTTGGGTATCGGAAACACGGGCTTCATCCAGGCAGACCGGGAGGTGCCTGCCTCTCTCACTTGCTGCAAGAGGCTGCAGTACTGCTGCGCTCAGCCTGCGACGGTGCCAGCGCAGTGGCCAGGGGCTTTAATGATGTCCTAAATTTCCTCAGCAGTTCTGAAGCTAACGTGCAGTTTCCCTGTGGGCGGGTTTTGCAGAGTGGCTTGTTTTCTATAAGCTGCCCAGTGTGCGTGCAGTTTTCTGAGGTGATGCTTGTGGTCCTTTTGTATCTGCAGTCTGTTGGGTCACCTCTGATTTACTCCCAGTGCCAGGAATTTTTGCATTCTCACTTTTATTCTTTATTAGTGTTGTGACAGATTATTTTTTGGTCCCATTTTCGTTGCTTACAATTTCATTGTTTTACTACTGAGTAAAACAAACAAAAACCCCAAGGGACATTTGCTCTTTCTCTTGTCTTCACTCTGCATGCTTCGGTCTGTTGCACTCCTTTTGAGGTTCTTAAGTTGGGAGTGCAGGGCTGCACACTCCCACAGGACTGCTTCAGCTTTTTTTTTCATCTTCAGTCATTTTGTACACTTTTAATTTCTGGTAAGTCTTCCTCTTTGAATGAAGGGTGATGTAGGGCCACTGTGTGGCTCTCCACAGACACAGGGGCTTTCCCATTACCTCTTTCTGTTACCATTGGTGCCTTGTTTGAGTCCATGGTCAGCAGAACTTGTGCTTCATGTGACTTCAGCTCTTTTACAGCTGGTGAGGGCTGTGTCTCCTGCTGGGTGGCGCCAAGCCACCAGTGTTCTGCCTGGTGACCTGCCAGGTGTCCGAGAGGGTAACAGGCTCTAGCACTGTGGCCCACAGGCACGATCCTCGGCTAGTGGTACCATCCACTTCCAGGTCACAGCTGTCTTCTGGCTTTGAGAGTGGGGACCCCCTGGGCTAGGGTTTGGTGTGTCTGTTCCATGTCAGCTGTATCATTTGCCGCCTCTCGCACCTCGCAGCTCCCACTGGGTGCATGGCCTCTGCGCAGGCCCCTTCATGGTCTCTGATGTTTGTATAACTTCTTTTAAGGACTACACACACGAGGGTTTCACAAGATAGTCAACCTACTGTTTGATTGTATTTGAAGTGAAGCTTTTGGGGGGAGGAGCTGGGGATCAAGCTCAGAACTTTGCACTTTCCAGGCAGGTGCTTATGCCACTGAGTTATCTCCCTGGCCCAAGCCTTTTTTTTTTTTTTAAATTAATTCTTTGTTTGGAAATTGTAGGTATACATAATGGTGACATTCATTATAGGATTTTTTTTTTTTTTTTTTTTTTTTTTTAAAGACAGGGTCTCACTATGAAGTTCAGGCTGGCCTCTAGCTCACTTTGTAACCCAGGCTGGTCTGAAACTCACAATGATCTTCCTGCTTCAGCCTCCCAAGTGCTGGGATTACAGGCATGTGCCACCACTCCTGGCAATCATAGGAAATTTGTACCTGTATATGATAGATCTTGATTCTTTTTCTCCCATCCCTCTACCCTCCCTCAACCAACCCCTTTCCCTCTCTTTATTCACAAAACTTGTATCCATTTCTTCTTTTTCATTCTTTTTTCTCCATCTTTCTTTTTCCCCTTTACCCCTCCCCAGTTCCCTGCTTTTCTTTCCTTTTATTTATTTATTTTTATTTAGGACAGGGTGTGCAGGCTCTCACTGTGTAAATCAGACTCTTAGTGATCCTCCTGTTTACAGCCTCCCAAGTGCTGGGATTACAGGCTTGCACCACCACACCCAGTCTCAATTGCCCTCTCGGTACGCCCAGGGGCGGGGCCTGCATGGCAGGCTGGGGGACTGAACTCATGGCCCCTGCATCTGCCTAAGCAGGCCCATTAGTCTGCTGAGCTATTCGACCGGCCCATTTTGTTGTTGTCGTCTTCTTGAGGCAGGGTCTCGCTGTGCAGCTCAGGCTGGCCTCTGACTCAGTGACCCTCCTGCCTCAACCACTCGCATGCTGGGATTCAGGCGTGCACCACTGTGTCTGGCCCCAATTCACCTTCCCATTTGAATATTTTCTTCATATTCCACAGAGTCTGTTATACATTTTGCTTCTTATTTAAACTTTCAGCTTCTCACTCCAGAGAAGGAATGTGGTATTTCCCTATGTGTGTTCAGTTTACTAAAGTGAGGTTCTTTTTTTGTGCCAGGCGTGGTGGGGCATAACTAATCCCAGCACTCAGGAGGCTGAGGCAGGAGGACCATTTTGAGTTTGAGACCAGCCTGGGCTGCAAAGTGAGCTGGAGACCAGCCTGACCTGCATTGGGAGACCCTGTCTCAAAAAGACAAAAAAGGAAAAAAGAAAGTGAGGTTCTTTTCGATGACACAAGCTTCATTGTAAGGTTAGGTGGTTTGGGAGAGTTTTCGTTTACTTTGCTTTTGAGGTCGGCAGCTCAGCCCAGGGCAAGTGTTCTCCACAGTGGTGGGGTTTTTGTGTGTTTATTTTTTGCTCTTTTCAGTTTTGACACAGGGTCTCACTGAGTTGCCAGGCTGGCTTCAAACATGTGACCCTCCTGCCTCAGCCTTATGAGGAGTTCGGTTCCATCCATTCTCTTAGTTGTTTTTTCTGCTGGACACAGATGAGCTTGTTTCTCTTCATCTGAGGAGGTCTTACTTTCCCCTCCTTTTCTGAAGGAGAGTTCCAGCAGTGTCCCTGGTGACAGTTCTTTGCACTTGTGAAACTTACTGTTGTACCTTTTCTTTTCTTTGTTCTTTTCTTTCTTTCTACGTTTGTTTGTTTGGTTGGTTGATTTTTGAGACAAGGTCTAGATATGTAGTTCACACTGGCCTTGAACTCACACTGGAGCCCAGGCTTGACTCCTATTTTGCTGAGATCCTCCTGCCTGAGCCTCCCAGGCTCTGGGATTCCTGGTGTGTACCACCTTACTGGGCTCTTGTGCTATTTCTCTCTAGCCTCCAAGGCTTCAGGGAGAGCTCTACAGTCTGATAAATTTTACTTTATCCTCCTGAAGGAAAGTGATGTTTTCCTGTGGCTGCTTTTCAGATTTCTTTTTTGCCTTTAGTTTTCAGGAGGTGAATCTGCTGAGTTCTGCTGTGAAGTCCTTCAGATTAGCCTATTAGGATGCCTGGCTTCATGAAACTCTAGGCTTAGGGCTGCAAAGGGGAGTCTTAGATCTGTTGTGGTTTGGCAGGGAGTGAAGCTGTCCCAGATGTCCCAAGTCTATGCCCTGAATTCTAGTCGGACCCAGGCCGCTGAGTCCACAATGACTTCACACGTTCCCTCTGACTCTGCAAGACTGCTGAGTCTTCCATGTCCATCCCCGGCCCATGGCCTCACTGTCTGTCTTGAGTTTGAGAGCTGCTTCTTGGTGTGGAGCCAGTTTTTAGCTCAGTAGATATTGGGTGGCATCCAAATTTGGGTCAGCTGTCTTGGTTCGTCCTACCCACAGGAAGGGCGCACCTTTCTCATGTGGCCATGGGGACCAGCCAGCCACAGCGCCAGGCTCTTAATGCTGAGCTCCGTCCTCTTGTTGACCTGACTCCAGGTGGGGCAGGGGTAGGGGTGATGTGGACACCACAACCAGCCACTGCCTCGGACCCAGAGACCTGTGTTGCCTGCAGTAGCCTGGCCCAAGCGCGAGCCCTGTCCTGTGCTTGCAGACCCGTGCATCCCCGTTTAAGGACATGATCTTGTGCTTCTCTGAAGAAGACTGGTCCCTCCTCGACCCCGCACAGACTGGATTCTATGGGGAGTTCATTATCGGCGAGGACTGCGGGGTCTCGGTTCCCCCTGGTAAGGCTCTGGCTGCCTGGAGAGCAGAGTCACCAGGGCGCAGCTTGCAGCCTCTGTATAGGAAGGGCTGCCTAGGTGTCAGCACCTGGTATTCTCATAGACTCGACCCCCCCCTTGGCCCTGCCCCATGCTTGGCTCTGCTGCTCCCCACCCCTCTCTGTTGGCCTGACCTCTCCCACCCTGCTGACCCCAGTGCCACAACACTCTGTGGCCGGCTGCTTGCCTTGAGGCCAGTTGGGTCACCTGTTCCTGTGCTTGCTGTCCCTGTCCTCAGAGTCCCCAGATAACCAGGTGTGTCTACCCTTCTCTGCATAGACAACCCCGAGGCCCAGCCAGACCTCTCTCCCAGGGAAGACAGTGAGCCTCGGGTCCCAGAGCTGCCCGAGCTGCCAGGCAAGGAAGTGCTTCAGGACCCCTCTGTGGGTGAGTTGGGGAACCCACGGCTTCTTCTTGGGAGAACCCTCCCCACCCCCCCCCCGCTTACATGCTGTCTGGGACTCCATGGCTCACCTTCTCCAAGAGCAGGGACTCACCCTGCAGCCTGCCCCCACATGAGGCCCAGCCCCAGACCAGCTTGGTGGGCGGGGTTCCTGAGCACCCTTCTCATCCACGACCAGCGGGTTGTGGCCCTCGCACTTGACACTGTCCTCATCTTCTTGGGCAGACTTCCCTGGTCCACAGCCGTTCCCAGTGGAGGAGAGGAAAAGGTGGGAGGAGCTGCAGGTGCCTGAGTCCCAGGCCTGCCCAGTGCCCACTCTCGCTCAGAGCACCTGCCCAGGTAAGGGCTTCCAGCCTGGTGGGCAAGAGGATGCAGGCACGCATGTTGTCGGGCACAGGTGTGGGGGGGGGTTGGGGGGGTGTGAGCGGGGCCCAACATAGTCACCACCCCTGAGCAGGCTGCCCCCTTCCTGCTCATCCTGGGGGCTGAAGGCCACTGCCGCAGCCCTGCCAGGAGCCTGCTGAGTGCAGACCCAGCCAGCACCCCTCCAAGCCGAGCAGGACATAGCCAACTGCAGTGCCTCAGGTCCAGGCATTCTCCGGTCTGCCAAGCTCCAAAGCCGGGCCTCCCAGAATCTGCACAGAGGTGTCCAGGACCTGGAGGCCTTGGTACTTACACTGGCATGGCTTTCCCTTGGCTGCCTTCGATGGCAGGCACGACTCCATGTAGTATATAGGGGAGTTCTCAGGGTCCCGCCGTATCTCGTCACACACACAAGGGCCCCCAGTCCAGGGGCACCTTCTGTGGCACCCAGAGGTACCCAGGTCTCTGTTCTCCTCCCTTTACTGGGCACTGGGCTCTGCTCTCAGCTGGTGGTGGCTGAGGGGAACAGTGGGCTGAGCAGGCGCCTCCCTGAGATGTCCTGCGCTACTTGCCTGTTGCGCCTGCACCGAGGAACATCATTCCTCCTCTTGCTTCTGTGAGTTGTCTGTCAGTCTGTCTTCTTGCAGGCAGCTCAGCACTCCTGTTTGTTAGCTCTAGGTCTGTTTCTGTTGTCACTGACACCCTGTGCATTGGGCACTGTGTGTGACCCATAGTTCTGGTTCAAGGTCAGGGGGTCGCCAGAAGGCCCACACAGTGCAGGAAGAGACAGGAAGAGAGAGCCAGCAGAGCACTCCCACTACAGGGCCTCAGCCTCACCCGTGCAGGATGGGACCTCCTCCCCCCGGTGCTTTCCACATCCCACAGTGCCCCTCTGAGACAGCAGCACCTGGGTCGCTGGAGGGCCTGAGAACTGTCCAGCACCTCAGCCCCACCCCAGCCATGGGTGGCAGCTAAAGGCCGGGTGCCAGGCTTCACTCCATGTAAGCAAGGAGTCGTGCGCAGAGGAAGCCCAGAGCCCCAGGAAGGACAGATGCAATGGACACTAGGGCCCAAGGGGGCAGGGTGGCCCATCCCCCATGCTATGCTCCCTGCAGAGGTAGAGTTCGAGGGGACCACCGACACTGGGGGACAAGGCTGCTTTTCACTTCCTGTCTGCCACTGTGATCTGCCAGGAGGCTGTGCTGCTACAGGCTGCACCAGCCTCTTTCCTTCAGCTAGTTACTCTTAGGCTTTCCTTACAGCAGTGAAACAGGCAGATGACAGCTCCGCCCTCAGCTTCCTCCTCCCAGAGCTCCCTGGAAGTTGGAAGAGCCAGGCAGTGCCTGCACCACACACCTAGGGTTGCTCACCCTAAGCAGCGCCCCTTAGGACAGCAGTGCCTGCTTTGCAGGGAGCTCTCTGGGTCTCCCTCGGGGACCTCACCAGAGGTCACCTTGTCCGACATTGCCAGTGGTACCAGGTCCCTGTGACCAGACTCAAGTGTACTCATGCTAGAGGCCACGCATCCAACATGGAGGCGTCAGTGGGGCAGCTTCTTCACCTGCCCTGGTGGCTTGCAGAAGGCCGCCTTGTGTTGTGAGCCCCGTAGTCCTTCCTATCCATAGGAGGACACCAGTGACACCAAAAGCTCCTTTAGAAATCCTTCTGCCAGATGCTGTGTGGTCATGTGCTAAAGCACTGGTGTCAGGACTGAGCACCTAGCCTTGCTGGCCCCAAGCCCCAGCCCATGAGCTGGCCCGCCAAACCATGGCAAGCCAGACCAACTACAGCACCCACATTAGTGAGCGCTGAGGACACTGCTGGTTACAGGCCACCCACAGCTCACGGGAGCTGGGCTAGTACTTGTCACGCCGAGGCCTCTCCGGGTCTTCCCTGGGCACTTGTTCTCACCACGGGAAGGGGAGGGCATCATCGCAGGAGGCCTGCAGGCAGAGGAGCAGCCTGATCTTATCCCTCTGGCCCCTCCCAGCCACTCGCCACCTGGTGGCTGCCTGGGCCTGTCCTGTGACTCCCTGCGTGCCTGCTGCACCTGAGTCTAGGCCCCAGATCCCCAGGCCTCTCAAGCTGTCCTGGACCCAGCCCCTGAGCACCACACTTCCTGCCTTCACCACCTCTGCGGAGGTTGCTGGGCAGGAGTGTCAGGACTTCGGCCAAGGTTAGGAGACCCAGGCCTGAGTCTCTGACTGAGTGGTGACACTTGGAGGAGCGTGCCGAACTGCAGAGCCGGTATCTGCACCAGCCCCTTCTGGGCCACCTTGGTGTGACTAGGTGGAGGGCTGGCTTGTCTGTCTTCGACCTGCTGTCCTTCTGGAACTGGATCCTGTGGTCTCTTTCTGGTTAGGGGAGGCAGGGCTTGGCCGGGTGGGCAGAGCATGGAGCAGGGCCACGCCCACTGCGGTCTGGTCTTCAGTCATGGCGGTCCCGGGCACCCCTGACGCGCCCTACCGGTCTTTGCAGCTGCACCCGGCCCCACACCCCTGGAAGATGGCCTGGAGGAGGAGGTGACCATCGAGATCGTGCTGTCGGGCTCTGGCGACGAGGAGGAACGCAGCACAAGCACGCGCGGGGCCCAGGCTAAGGCTTATGTATGCCCTCGCTGCGGCAAGGCCTTCCGCTGGCGGGTCAACTTTGTGCGGCACCTACGCAGCGGAGACGGCGACAGTGTGGCTGGGCACCGCGGGACACACGAGGCTCCCCGGCCGCATCGCTGTGGGGCCTGTGGGCGCAGCTTCCGGCTGGCAGCACACCTGCTAGCACACCGCCGTGCACACCTGCGGCCAGGGGACAGGGATGCCAAGGACCCCGGGGATGCCAAGGACAATGGGGACGGGGACAGGCCGGCCGCACGCCGCCGCGACCTCCCTCAGGACCGCGCACTGCGCTGCCGCTACTGTGCCAAGAGCTTCGGGCAGAACTGCGGGCTTTTGCGCCACGAGCGCCTGCACATGAAGCGCCGCTCCAAGCAGGCGCTCAACTCCTACTGAGCGGCTAGGCCGCCCCGCCAGGTCAGGTGGGACCAGCGTTTCAGGCGCAGGGACACCACCTTCCCCACCCGCGGCCCAACACCTCACAGCCCATCCCTGGTGCCCCAGGCCCCTGAGGGGACAGTGGCCTCATGGCCCCAGGTTATCAGCTGGCCCTCTGTTTGCACCACAACTTTGAGGGCCACGGTAGGACAGGCCTTCAGGTCCTGCCCCTGACAGTCCAGGGTCTGCGGCTAGCAGCAGGCCAGCACCACGACTGCTCCTAGGTGCGATAATAGACAGCTCAGTTATGATTTGGGGTTATTCTTTTATTTTGGTTTGATTTTGTTTGCGGCACTGGGAATCAAGCCAGGGCCTTCTCACCGTGCCACATCCACACACAACTGCATACTTTCTAGGTTGTTGTCATTCTTTAAACTTAGAACCAGGATCTCACTAAACTTTCCAGGCTGGGCTCAGACTTGAGAGCCTCCTACCTCAGCCTCATAGCATGGCGGGATGGCAGGTGGGCACAGCTCACCCAGCCAGAGCTCCTATTTTAAGCTCTCACACACTTGGCCCAGCTCTTTTCTGTGCAGTGTGGAGGCCCTCATTATGTGTAGGTGGGGTAGCAGCCAAGCTGTCATCTGAGGGATGCTTGAGGGGCTCAGCTGTCAGGGTTCCTGGGTCCGGAGTTCTCTGCTCCACCAGTGACCCATGCCTGCACGTGTCCCCCAGAACTGGCACGCACTCCAGCAGAGTCCTCTCCACCCTGGCAGGTATAAGGAGCTTCGTATGCATGGCCTGGGCCTGTGGGAGAAACCCTGGTTCCTCTGCACCTGCGTCTGTGTGCAGCTCCCTGTGGCTGTCCCCAGCTCCCTGCAGAGACTCCAGTCATGCGCTGAGGTTCTAGAGGCATACATTTCACCACCAGGATATTGGGGTGGTGACACAGCACTTCCCCTGCACCCACCAAAGGCAGCCACAGCCTGAGTGGTGACAGCTGGATCCTGTCCTGGGACACCAGCCTTGGGCCTCAGAGCTTCAGTCAGCCTGCAACAGGTGCTCCTGGTCACCCGCATGGTTTTCACATCACGAGTGCTCTACCCCTACCCAGTAAAACCTGCCTGTTTTGTTTTCATTTTGGGATATCAGAGATTGAGCCCAGGGCATCCACAATGAGCCACATCTCCCCACCTTTTTGGTTTTTGAGACAGTCTTGCCAAGTTGTGTAGGTGGGACTGGAATTTGCAATGCAAGTGTACTGGGGTGACAAGTACACACCACCACACCTGCCTGAGATTTGTGGGGTGTGTGGGTGTGTGTAATTCAGTGTTGAGGCAGATGGTTCTGCTTCAACAGTTATATAAATACCAACTTTTCATAAAACATTTCCAAGAGGAAGTCACATTGCCCAGATCATTTAATGAAGCCAGCATTACCCTGAAATTAATCAGAGTACCGCAGTAACAAATCCCAGCTGCACAGAAATAAGGAAAAACAAGCTTGTACCAGATACCGACCCACGGAGTGGATCTGCATGGACGGGAGGCTGTGCAGTGTCAGAGCAGGCATGGTGAATGCAGCCACCTGTTGACCAGGTAATGTAAGCAGTGTTCTTTCCTTGGTGCTTTGTTGTCAGTCCAGAGTCCTGTGCTGGTCTCATCATGGTGTCTGTCCCCGTTGTCAAGTGTTCTCCAGTGACAGCTGTGTTATACTCACTTTGGCCAGGAGTGGCTTGAGGCCTGAGCTGATGGTGCTGACGAGATGGGTATGGGTGGAAGCCGTGGACAAAGGGTGACCACGCGCAGGCCGGGGCACAGCCTGCCACCAGATCAGCTCGCTCGCCCCCAGAAGGCCGCACTAATTGTTGCCACCCCTAGCAGGGCTTCAGCCACCCTAGTGCTAGGACTACAGGTGTGTGTGCCCACCTGCCTGCACCCCACTTCCTGAAAGGTCCCAGAGTGAGAAGTATCAGTCCATGACCCAGGGGTGGAAACCTCTGACATAAAGTAAGTGTTGCTTATGGTTTGGTTTGTTTTGGTATTTGGGGTTGAAGTCATAGCCTCCACAGTGAGCTACATCCCCAAACTTTTATTTTTTATTTTTTTATTTTTTTTTTAAATTTTATTTATTTATTTATTTGAGAGAGAGAGAGAGAGGCCAGCTCAGCCCACCAGGGGGCAGGGGGGGCTGGGATGTGGTGCTGGGGGATTGAACCGCGGTCCCTGATGCTTTTGCTAAGCTTGTTCTAAGTAGGTGCTTTAGACCACTGAGCCATCTCTCCAGCCCCTTATTTTTTATTTTTAGGGAAGGGTCTACAGGGTGTTCAGGGTTTCACTACTAGATTGGATTCATAGTGATCCACCTGTTTACAGCCTCCGGAGAGCTGGGATTACAGGCTTACTCTACCACGCCCAGTCTCAATTGCTGTCTCAGCGTGCCCCGGATCGAACACCCCCACCCCCGCGCCTGCTTGCAGGCGCTTTAATCGGCTGAGCTATTTGCCCCCCCCCACACACACACACTTTTTTTTCTAATAGAGATAGCATCTCACCAATTTTTAAGTTAACCACACTAGGCTTAAACTTGAGATCCTCTGGGCGGGGGAGATGGCCCAGTAGAATAAGCTTTTGCCTGACAAGCGCAAGGGCCATGGTAGCAACTTGGGAGAAGCCCCTGGCAGAACCCGCTTATGGCTACAACTAGGAAGGGAAAGTTAGTTTGGGCCTAACTACGAAAGACCAACCAACAGAAGATAAGGTAGACTGGTGGGTGGTTTGGTGAAGCTGAGAGTCCCGGCAAATAATTACCAGAGACTGGTGTGGAAATTGGCGCAAGGACTGTGGTGCACACCTGCTCCATTAAATCGTGTTTTAGTCCAGAATGTATCCAATAAGTTTATCCCACTAAGATAGCTTTAGTCCACTGATATTGTGCTAGTGGATGACAACACTTTTTTTCACTTTCACTGATGAAGGATGTGTTCAACAGATGATTTTTTTTTTTTCCCCCAGCACAGGTTATCGAACTCGACCTTATGCTTGCCAGACAGGCGCTTAAGCCAGTGAGCTATATCCCCAGCAACATATTTTTACGTATCAATTAACAGTACTTCTCTTTCTTAATACATTTAAGAGACTTCGAGTTGGGCATGGCTGCTGAGGCAGGAGGATCCTCCCTAGTTCCAGGCCAGCATGGACCACACAGAGTTCAAGGCCAGCTTGAACTACAAAAAAGGCTCTGTCTCCAGAACAGCGTAAATAAAAAGACTTCTTATGCTTTAAAATTACCAAAACAAATGGATCGTATAGCTGCAATACCGTCTAGCCAAACTAAAAAAGTCAAAGCCCTGCCGCCTACACTTGATTTCCGCGTGATCTCCACAGCATTCCGGACCACCACTAGGGCTTGGTAACAAGCCGCTTCCGGAAGAGGAGCCGAGGGGGATCCCCACCCCCGGCAGGCCACGCAGCGGCGGGACCCCCGCCCGGAAACAGCGCCGTCTCGGTCAGGCCGCGCCTCCTCTGCGAAGCGAGGCTCTCCGGCCGCGGTCCTCCCGCGGCGCTGGCGTTCCCGCGTCGCGCTCGGGCCGCGGGGCTGGTGGCGGTGAAAGGAGACGCCCGGGACGGGCGAGGCCGCCGCGGAGCCGGCCGAGGGGCGCCCTGGCAGGAGGAGGAGCGCGGAGACGGCGCCCCGCCCCGCCGCGTCGACGTTCCTTGATTCTCGAGAAACGCTGCTGTGTGCGCGGCTTCGGGGCCGTCGTCCCGCCGGGTTCCCGCGGCGCAGCCTGCGTACCAGCGGCAGTCCGAGTCAGCTGGTGACCCTCTAAGCTGGCTTCTGGAGAAGTGAGCTCCGAAAGGAGAGCGTCGTTCGTCGTGCTGCAGCGCCTGAGGGCCCGCCCGAAGGAGCGCCCCTGCGCTGGCGGTTGCAGCGGAGCGGACCGTCCGTGCGTCCGTGCGTCCGTCGTGAGCGGGGAGAGCCGGCCCGGCGTGGCCAGCGTCGAGTCACCGGAGCAGCTCCTGATCCCGCAGCCCGCGCGTCCTGCGGGTGTGGGGAGATGCGCGCTAGGTTTGTAAAAAGCAGGAGGAGGTGGGCAAGGCCAGTGTCACCCGCTGCACAGGGCCGGAAGGTGTGGCCCAGGCAGAAGTAACCCGTTTTCCGGAAGAGATTTTCAACCCAGTGCCTTCGCTGTCTCCAATCTGTGATCTAGAGGCTCCACTCTGGCTCCCCACTTCCTGCTGTTGGAATGGTTTGCCAAGAAAAAAGAATCTGAAGACCATTCTAGGAGCTGTAACCTGCCCAGGCTCACAGGACTTTCATGTTCATCCTCCTGACTTTGTGGTTGATAGTATTCATTTTGCCACAATTAAGTCAAGATAAGTATTTGCAAAGTTGTTTTTGTAAACAAAAGTCAACTTAGAGCAGACATTGCTTTAAAATTTGTGGCTTCTCGGGGTATGGTGGCACACATCTGTAATTCCTGCGCTTGGGAGGCTGAGGCAAGAGGACCGCTGTGCTTGAGGCCGGCCTGAACTACGTAGCAAGAGCCTGTCTCAAAAACAAAACCCAAAAAAACCCTTAAGTTTCTTAAATATCCGTATCTTTTTTTTTTTTTCCCCGAAACCGGGGATTGAACTCAGGTCCCTGCGCTTGCCAGGCAAGTGCTTATTCCACTGAGCCATCTCCCCGGCCCAGCCCTATCATTTTTTAATCCCCCAAACTATCTGTGGTTTATGGGACTTCACAAGGTGAATGATGAGTTTCCCACTAATGTAGTGATCTGTTCTGTTTGGTTTTTGAGACAGTTTTTAGCCTGCCTCAGCCTCCCAAGAGGTGGGGCTATGGAAATATGCCACCATGCAGTAGTAACCTGTTCTAATGATAAATTTCGCAGGAAAATTGTAGAGCATTCTGCATTACTCAAATGGGAAAATTAGATGCATTGTACTTTTACCCCAAACCAATGTTTCAAAATGTAGATACAATACAATGCTTACAAGTAACAGATCCTTTCAATGATTTATGGTTTGCAAAAAGATTTTGTGTGATTAAAAAAGCCTTCAAGCATAATTTAATTTACTTACGTGCAGACAGTTGCTTTTGGAATTTCCACGGCCCTGTCAGCCCCAGAAACCACAGTGAAGCTATGTAGTTGCTGCTGAGTGTGATTTTTCAGATCCACATGTTCTTGTGAAGTTCTGTGGATTGCACTTGACAAGACATTGAAAGCTTTCTCCTCCACATGATTTTGTTAAAAACATTTAATTTTAGAGACTTAGATGTATCAGCATTTGTTGTATAAGTACCAGTC